AGCAACGCTGTTATTAGGAAACGAGTGTTAGGTAAGAACGGCAGATCAATAGATGAAATAATGAAACTTCATCATTTGAGGTGGTTGGGACGTGTGTTGCGTATGCCCAACCACCGACTGCCTCGAAGAGCTTTGTTTTTTAGTGTAGGAACAGGTTGGAAGAAATTTAGGGGCGGCCAAACCAAAACATGGTAGAAATCCATGAAGTCATTTACGAGTGAACTTAGCCATGTCGGTAATTGTCGACTACCTGGTTGGGGTTCGCGAGATGATAATAATCGATGGTTAGATACCCTGAATGACATGGCTCTAAATCGTTTGCATTGGCGCCGGTTCATTTATTCTTTGTGTTCTCTCATTTCCTTATCTTCTGGATTCTTCAACTCCTCTACTTTTGACTTTCTAAACTTTTCTCATTATATCATACTTCTTGAATAATATCTTCTAATCCTAACCTCTCGGATTACTTCTAATACTTTTACTACCTCTTCTACTATTGGATTTGAATTGACAATTACATCTCTGTGCTAATGTGGTATGGCGACATGAACTGATGTACTTGCGTACGAAGTTTTACGTTGCATCTGACTGACTGACTGACTGACTGAGATAGACTACACTAAATAATCATAATCAGCAAACAGGTACAAATTCATAGTTTGATAACTGATGTAATAGTTGTATTAAAAAATAATAATACAACGATCCAATCATAGGTAAAATTAGGTATTAGGAAGTTTGCAAATATATATGCGAAAGGAGAGATTTATAGATTGTTTAATAGGTGTTACAAAGCATGTGAAGGGTAGTTGGGAATTGCCATAGGTTCTACCACATAAAGAAGATGAGGTCGAACCTTGCTAGGAAGGCATAAGATATAGATATATATAAATTGAAATGACCTAGTTTTGTCTACTACAACACACCACAGCTATCATCAATCAAATAGGATAAAATTAAGTAATATGTGATTATTTGGAATTTCCAACGTATTTGTTTAGTTATTTATCTAGAGAGCTTTCATTACATACCAGATAATTATACTATTTATTTTGGACAGCAGGTATTTATTTAACTACTAACACGGGAGACAAGAATTAGAGTTACTATTTTCTAGAATTCCTATCATTAATTAGCTACATACGGGTGAATAAATTTAGCATTCACATAATTTTTTTCTTCATATTTCCACAATGATTTTTATGTGTGTGTGTGTGTGCTATCTTATTGAAGAACAAATAAATCTTATTGGCCAGTTGTGCTGCATTTGTGCCTTATGTAGTTAAAAGTGCATATCATTGATCACGTTTATCTTCCTAATTGATACACAGAGATATCCATCATAATTCCTCATGTGTTATAATTATTAAGTTACATTAAAAAATAAGTTTTTGGTTTATATTTGACCGTGAATATTGATCATGACGTAACAAACGTTGTCAGCATTGAGTTGTGGAGATGGTTGAGCTGTTGTTAGACAACACTTAAAACTAGGAGGTACACTGACGTCTGTTTCACCCTAGTATGGGACTGGAAAGTTGAGAACTTATGGGACTACTCATTTGTGGACGTCTACGAACCCGCACCCAAGAGTGGAACCCAGTAACCTTTAGGTCTTCTTTGAACACAACCTTTAAATCATTGAGTCAACATAGAATATTGTACAAGTCTAACTAACTCCAACCAATCCACGATATTGGATAGTCATGTCAAACCGTCATCGATAGGCAATTTCCTCACACTGGCTGGATAATACGGTAGAAATCCACTAGTCACAGCTTCTTAGTGAAAATACGTTTTCGAAGCTAGTCACTAGTGAACGCATGATAATTGTGAGCATGAAGTGGTAGAGAGTCTTCATCTTTACTACAATTATAAATTGGTTTCATGTTCTAGAATATGAAAGAGATTATATATACAAGGAAAACAGTACGTCGAGAAATAGAGAAAGATATGAGAGGAATAAACAAACATTGGACAGAACTGGAGAGGGAAGCCCAGGACAGAGTTGGCTAGAGAAAACTGGTGGGCAGCCTATGCTCCATTGGGGGTAACAGGCGAAATTAAGTAAGTAAGTCAATGTTTAATGCAACTAAACAAAGAAATCCACATACTACTTTAAATTCATAGATATCGAATAATGCTACTGTTTAACTTTAAAATTCTTCCTCAACACTTGGTTTCCTGTCATTGCCATGAATATTGATTTTAGAAAATATTTCTTACATGTTATTGACGAGTCAGTCAGCTTACAAGCCGATTCTAGCTGATCTCTTTCTAGCAAAGCTAGAAAATGGACCACTGAACGAAGTTATTCAAAAACTTGATCTATATTGCCGTTATGTCGATGACACATTCATCATTGTAGATCAGGACACCAGGAAAGAAAAACTTTTAGAACAATTCAACAATGTACACCCGGCAATCACGTTCACTGGTGAAGAAGAATATGATGAAAAACTGTCTTTCCTTGACATCACACTAAGTAGGCGAAAGGATGGTTCACTAAGTAGAAGCGTGTATAGAAAAAATCCTAGTGCTTGCCAATACACTCACTTTTGTAGTTTTACACCTATCCGCTACAAAAGAAATTTGGTTAGATGTCTCACTTACAGAGCAAATTTGATATGTTCAATGGATACTGTAAGTCAGGAGCTGGAATTCATCAACGGCTCACTAACCGAGATTGGTTATCCAAGCGCATTCTTAAAGAAGTATATGTCTGCCGTAAAAAAGAAGTCGGTGGTTTCGACTGCCCGAAAGAAGCCTTTGTTTATGAAGCTACAGTTCAACGGAGATGTGGCCTGCGATACTCTGCAGGATAGATTAAGAAGAGTAATTAACAGAACATTCAACGCTGCAAAACTTGCATTGACTTTCTCCAGTCGACCTGCGATGTCTACTCAAACGAAAGATAAGTTACCTGAGCTGGCCTCCTCTATGTGCATTTACAAATTCAGCTGCTCCTGTGGAGATAGCTATATCGGGCGTACTTCCAGGCAACTTAACCAACGAATGAGTGAACATCTCCCAGCATGGTTTATGAAGGGTCAGTCAAAAACAATACGCAGTTCTATCTTAGCACACCTGGTAGATAGTGGTCACATTGTAGATAAATCTAGATCTTTCCGGGTGATCTATCGTATACCTCCATCATTTCCCAACGGAGTTCGATCCCGTCTCCTACACATTGCAGAAGCCATAGGAATACGTACATTCAACCCTAATTTATGTGTTCAGAAGAAATTCGTGACACCCCTATCTCTTCCGTGGCCGGATATGACGTAACTAATGATTGACATATTTTATTTTTATTATTTTTGATTTATTTTATTTTATTTTTACACATTTGCTTATTACGTAATGTTTTTGACGTTTTTGATGATTATTTGAATTCTATTCATCCACCCTTGACCTACTTTAGTTATCATATTTTACAAATTTTCTTACTACTATCAGTACACCTGTTTTCCTATTATCCACTTGAACTTTTGCCTATTAGATGTAGTTACATAATCTTTTTCATTTCATTGTGATTATCACTCAAATTGCCTTGATTGGTTTAACATTTTCATATAAATATTCATGTATATTAGAGTAAAGCCTGATGACGATCTAATCGAAAACAATATTGTTTGCTTATATGTGTTGTTCTAATTTTTGATTGTAATTTTACCGAATGAAAATGTGTGTACAATTCCATATATCAGATCTCTTGATGTTCGTTTTAAATTAATTTACTTGCTTCTGTGTGTGTGTGTGTGGATGTCCTCATGTGACTACTACTATTGGTCACATTCTTAGATTATTTGTTCAACAGTCAGTACTTTACAATAAAATACAGAATACTCATTTATTTTTAATTCCGTTTTTAACAAAACTCTGTTATGCGATCTGCAATAAATTAAACATTCATGAATAAAGATTTTCAGCATTATGTGGCATAAATAAAGATAGTTATTAGAATAGCTGTTTACGACATGTCAGTTATGTTATGTTATTTACATCTGTCTAACGTTCAAGGATAAGGATTTCTGCGGTTCTCTTTAATTTTCATCTACACCTTTCGGTTATTATTTGTTACTGAACTCTCGTGAAATATCGACAAGTTCAGTAGATTATTTATGTTTATGTTTCATGGCAAAATGTAATACATCCATGACTAATTGAAATATGCATTACGTGAATTGATCAAGTTAGACATTAACACCGTTAGAAACGGGCCCAGTGGTCCAATGGTTAGGCGTTCGCGCACAATACTGAAGGTCCTGGGTTCGAATCCTGCGAGGTGAAGGAGTCGTGGATGCGCACTGCTGAGGAGTCCCATACCAGGACGAAACGGCCGTCCAGTGCTTCTACGTTTCTATTGGTGATCTAACATTGATGGATTCATGGTTTTAAAAAAAAATAATTGAAATATATTTACGTCTCCCGAAACTGATCATTAAACAATCTGATATTGATGGACACAATAAGTTTTCTAATATTTTCTTCTTTCTTCAATTAGTGTTATGGAGATTAGTGTTTTTACACATTTGAAATCAACAATCAATCATTGCTAGATCACTATTAGAAACCTGGAAGGACTGGATGGCTGCTTGACCTGGTATGGGACTCATCAGTGGCAGTGCGTATTTGCGACTCCTTCCCCTCACAGGATTCAAACCCAGGACCTTCGGTTTTGCTCGCGAACGCCTAACCTCTAGACCACCGAACCGGGGGATTTAACAGTGTTAGTGTTTAACTCTGATCAATTTACAGATTTTGCGCCACTTCACCCATTTGTTTTTGATAGTAGTTACTGCCTACATCCGACAAACAGAGTTGAACCCCATCAGTCACTTCTTCTCACTAGAACTCCGAGAATTTCCTCACAAAGCTAGTCACTAGTGAGCATACTATTTTTTTACATTAATGTGATGTAAATGTAATAATCATACTAACTGTATGGTATAAAACTTAATCAATCAACATTGTTAATTATTCAAACTAAAACTTACCAATATCGGACCCGTCAATTTCATATAAACCAATAATATACCAAATACATGCACACCAATGTGCAACTAATGCAAAACTAAACATTAATAATCCTAATACAATAACACTGTATTGTGATAATCTAATAATTTTTTGTATAAGACGAGCTAAACGTAAAAGTCTTGCAAGTTTCATCATTTGTAACAAAGATATCTAGATTAAAATAGAAGATATGAAGATAAAAATAACAATAAGAGAATTATAATTAGTATGATGTATTGAATAATGACGTGATGGTTAATTATAGATATGAAACTTTAAAAAAAAAATTAGGTTTGTGATGAATAGATACTTAATATAAAATGCATAAAAGCCTGTTTTTGTTATCTTCATGGAACTAGTATTTATACTAAGGTATTTGAAGTTATCACTGTGATTGTCAATAATACCTAGAGGCTGATAGTAATCTTTGCTTTAATCTACTTATCTACGGATGGATTTACAGGTAGACATATAAGATCCATGATGAAATGGTGTATAAACAATATTATAGCATCAGTTGTATAGATGGTAATTATCAGTGTTCCAATGTCCTTTTCAAAGTTAAACTGTTTACTCTAATTGTCTTCGCAAAATACTTCAGATTTGTTGGCCAGACATGATCAGCAACAGCTTACTGTGGGAGAGAACAAACTAGATTTCAGTGGAGGAGGAAATCAGAAAGAAGCTCTAGAAGTGATGGATAGGACACACACTACGAAAAGTACCCAACTGCGTCACAAGACAAGCCCTTACATGGAACCCTGAAGGTCAAAGGAAAAGAGGAAGACCAAGGAACACATTCTGTCGAGAAATAGAGAAAGACATGAGAAGAATGAACAAAAATTGGACAGTATTGGAAAGGGAATCCCAGGACAGAGTTGGTTGAAGAAAACTGGTGGGCGGCCTATGCTCAATTGGGGGTAACAGGCGTAAGTAAGTAACTAAGTAAGTCACCGATGTTTTGATGTGTATTTCTGAGACTTGATTCTATTCACTTTGTCGAATTATAGTATATCTTAATATTGCAGATACAGTTTGCAGTGCTGCCATGTACTAAGAAAGGTCTCAACCTTTGATGAAAAACTGATTCCGACCTGTTTAACTTATGATTAGTACATAATTATGTGTATTCAATAAATATTTCATGCGTTCTTTTAAGCTGACAGACATGAGAATGAAAACAGGACGAAGCGAATCCGACAAGCAGAGTAAGTCAACTCTGATGTTCTAAATCATAATCAAGAATTTGTAGTCAGGTAATCAAAGTAGGCTATACATGTAATGAGCTGATAAGCCCAAGCACACACATTCAATTATACTGATACAAATCATAAAAGTAATTACTAGCAACAATCAGATCTATGATAATGATAAAAACGAAGTATATTTTTTTTGGTCACATTGTAGACTTGATTAACTGAACTGTGATAACTTGTAAGTAATATGGATATACATTATTTTTCAATAAAATGATTTAGTGTGGCTGAAGGCCAGTTGAACTGATCCCTGAAGTGCTCTGCCCATCGATACAATCTACTGGGTTGAGAATGAATGTTACGACCATCCCTTTCCGAGATAATTTCGCTAACAAATGGATTCCTTCCTTGATTAGTTAGAACAGTTATCTACTTCTTTCCTGTCATCGCTGCTTTTTCCATTGCTCTTGCTTTCGCTACCCGCCACTGAATTATACTTCTTGAATAATATCCTTAAACGTTAATCTTCTCCATTAATGCTAATACTTCTACCATCTCTACCATTATGGGATTTGAATGACAATCGCGTTTCTGTGTTAATGTGGAATGAAAACTAGAACTTATTTACGTACGTACGAAGTTCTACGTTGTGACTGACCGACTGACTGAGTGACTTAGACTACCATTAGAAACCTGTAAGCACTGTACAGTCGTTTCTTCATCATTATTGTTTGACATATTTTAATCTTACTATGACAGTAATATTGATAAGGTCATTGTAAATCAGTAGTAACTCTAACTCAGTTACGCATGCATGTGTTATAAGTTGGCTGAAATGATCATTTGAACAGTAGCAACTTGTCGCTACCATTTTACTTTAATTATCTTCGCCCTTGCATATAAATAACACCACCTACAGCCCTTCTAGGGTTACTACCGATCCCGAGCCCTGATAAAATAAGGGGTTTAGGTATTGGTTTAGTGATTCCATCCCGTAGAAATCCAACTCACTAAAAAGACGCTAACCAGAGTAATAACTCGCTGGTAGGCGGCCATGCTCCATTAGGGGTAACAGATATCAGTTAGTAAGTAAGTAAGTAAGTTGCGGACCAGTGGTATAGAGGTTGGGTGTTTGCGCGCAAGACCGAAGGTCCTGGGTTTGAATAATGTGAGGTACAGGAGTCGTGGATGCGCTCTGCCACTGATGAGTCCCATACCAGGATGAAACGGCCGTCTTTCAGTACTTCCAGATTTCTAATAGTGATCTAACAATGATTGATTGATGATTTCAATCTCTTTTATTTATTATAAAGTCTTTAGTCTAATTTCACTGTCCACAAAAGATAGTTTATCATTATTTTTCTTCTTATGTCCTTGTAAACATTGTTTTTATAACAGGAATAGTTGAAAACAACAATATGAAAAAAATAGTATGAGAAATTACTACAACACTACCATCACATGAAAAAGAATACACAACAATTATCCGTACCAAATTAAATTTCACTATTGGTCTTGTTTCGAATTTCTCATCATTCGAACGATATAAATAATGTTCTTTTTGTGTTTCATTCATTGAAACATTGACAACATGATATGCTTCAATTAAATTCGTGTTGATGTTTACATCTTCTAAATTGAGTATGGATGTACTTTGAAAAAAAATCAATATAAAATCAACTGGTAGCGCAGCTAATAAATCTAAAATTAACCATCCTTTAGCATAATGTTTTGCAATTAAATGACGATCATTCACAATTTGACCACTTTTATTCACATAGGTTGTGTGAAAATTCAATATCACATCTAGGGAACAAAATAAAGATAGGGGAAAATAAATGTAAATCATGAAAATTCACAGTTGAATGTTTCTTAAATGGTGAATAATATTATATATATGTCTGGTCTTATCGATTAGGTTGTGATATGTTTGCTAGTCTAACTGACTTGACATTTGTTACACTATGTTCAACTGTTAGATAAACTTTAGACGTATTTGTCAACAAACCCTGGATCAATATTTCATGTTTTTTTGGCACTAGTCAACAAGGCGAACTTACGATTCGATCCCGTATCAGTCAGCTTCATAGTTAAAAGGATTGCCGCTAGGCTATTCCTTTTCATACTTTTAAGTTCGTCACTTAGTGCGCTTGAAGCTATTAAAAGTTCACCTTAGTCGATAAACGCGAACGAGACAATAAACCAGCGTCCATGTAGGCTACATTGAATCACAAGCTGTAAAACAGAAGACTTGGTAAGCGTAGAAAGTATATTCTACAAACACCCAGCAATCACAATACAATCAAACACACAACTCTCGTTTATTTATACATCATAGAAACGTCCTAGTGGCACAGTTAAGAGAATAGCACACTAAAATACACAGCAGCCAATCACAGCGGAGGATTTCGCTGGTGGGAAATGAAATCTCAAGGTCAAATGATCAGCCCATGCTGGCAAACGTGAAATACAAAATAAGACACTTATCAAACGAGTTCTGGGGGATCTCACATCCCCAACACACACTTAAGTAAAAATTTTGTATGATTTTGAGTTGAATACTTTCAGAAACTACATGTTATCACTAAATATAATAACTTTAGTATATTTATATCTTATGAACTGTTATAATGTTTCTTGCTTTTCAAATGGAGGCTATCATTGATACAGGTTTATAATTTCAACTTACCATATAGTATGCAATGATTGATGCTGAATGATCAGAGTTGAATTTGGTTAATGTGACTATGAAACCCTCAGGTAACTTCCTAGGCATTTTGAATTATTCCATTATAGGAAATTTTCGATTTTACTTACCAAGCAAGATTCAGTGTTACTGTTCAGCAATTATTACTGTGATTGTGGTTTATAACCAAGAAATAGTAAGACCATATTGCGATAAAGCTTGCTGATTCAAGCAGAAACAATCACAGATTTCTTAACAGTTCCAATGATTTTGATAGAATAGTGAGAAGATGTAATCTGATCTGAAAATGTGATGTATTTGCGTTCCATACATTTCGAACAATCTGGTCACACATATTTACTTGTCAAGTCATTTTATATGAAGATTAATAAAAGGTCAATTGAATAAAAGTTCCAATAGACATAAGGTGATAATTGTAAATGAAGGAGAGAGACTATTAACGTGATAGAGAAAGAATAAGAGAGGGTAAGAAATTGTCACATTACCCTAAGCCATAAAATGGCTTAAAGATTACCAGGGTGAAATCAAGGTTAAACATTTTGTCTCTGTATACATAAGGAGGGTTTTAAGTTACGAATAGCCAAGGCTTCCATAAATCTCTAAATTCGTCCTTCAACATTTCTATTCAGTGTTTTGTAGGCTGTCTTGATATCAATCTTATGTGTTTTGCGATCGATGAACATGGTTTTCTATTTCCCACGCTAATCCGCTCATCTGACGTTAACTGATTTTGAAGCCACTTAGGAACATGTTCCATAACCCTTGATTGCAAAGTCCGGTTACTCCTCCCTATGTATATGTGTCCACACAAACATGAAAAATGATAAATGCAGTGGGATGTGATGTAATCATTCGAGCAACGTTTAGGCCTATATGGAATCATGAGCTTAGTCTTCTTAATTACAATCAGTTTAGCGGCGTAGTTTGTTTTCTCTATAGCTGTTTTCAGTCTATGTCTTAAGATTAGGCCATTTGATTTACCTGTAAGTAGTAAAGTGATATAAACCTTTTTCTTCTCAGCAGAATCAAAAACAAGCTTTTGTCTAAAGTGATTTCTACACCTTTTGATGAACTTTAGTGGATGGCCGTTTGAAATCAATGCTTCAGGTGAGAATTTTGCATCGTCGTCTAATGTATCCGTGGTGCAAATTCTTTTTGCCTTATTGAAGAGGTATTTTATCAAGCCTCATTTGTATTGCAGTGAACAAAAACTGATGAAATTTAAATCCTGCCCAGCCCAAGCTGGCTTTCTATAGCCTGAAAGCTTTATAGTTCCATTCTCCCTTAGACTTAACAGTATGTCTAAAAAGAACAATCGGTTATAACTTTCTGCTTCGTGAGTTCTTTCTATTTTACGTTAATTTTCTCTCTCCTTTATTTACAATTATCACTTTATGTCTATTTGAACTTTTATTTAATTAACCTTCTAATTCGTCTTCATATAAAATGCCTTGACAAGTAAATATATGTGACCAGAATGCTCGAATTGTATACACATCACATTTTCCAGACCAATTACATCTTCTCACTGTTCTGTCAACATTTATCAAAGGGACTAATTGTTTTAAAGCCTTAATGACGTTGAACCATTAGATTAGAAATATCTCTATCTGATTTTTAAACTTTGGCGAAATAGATAATGATAATAGCTAAACATCAGCTGATATTATTAGCAGGCATTCAGTTAGAGCTTTGGAGATTCGTGTTTTTTACCCACTTGAAATCATCAATCAATCATTGTTAGATGACCACCATTAGAAACCTGGAAGCACTGAAACACGGCCGTTTCGTCCTGCTATTGGACTCATCAGCAGTGCGCATCCATGATTCCTGCACCTCTCAGGTTTCGAACCCGGGACCTCGGTTTTGTGCGCGAACACCTAAACATTGAACCACTGAGCCGTCATCCATCGGTGTTAATGTCTAACTCTGACTGATCTAAGGAATCTGCGCGACCTCACCCATTTGTCTTTGGTAGTAGTTACTGCCTACACCGGACAGGGTTGAACTCGATTGGTCACGTCCTCTCACTAGAACTCCGAGTATTTCCTGACGAAGCTAGTCACTAGTGAGCGCTGTTACGACGTTTTCAGTTAGAGCTTTTGTCCGATGGTTAGGCGTTCGCGTACAATACCGAAGGTCACAGGTTCGAATCCTGCAAGGTGCAGGAGTCGTGGATCTACTTTAATGTTACCGTTGGTGTTCAAGATAGCAGGTTTAAATAAACAAGATACATTTTCAACACATGCCATAGTCCTTACAATTCATCACTCTCAATACTAAATGCATAACACTGTAAGTTGTAAGTATTTCACTAAAGTGAACCCAGAGTAATCAAAGCGTTTTTCTTTCAGTTACTAACTTACCATTTTGAATGACTTTTGTTAAGTATCATCTGTACCATTCGGATGTTGACAATGTAAACTTTTAGTTTTTCATACCTGGAAGCACTAGACGGACGTTTCGTGCCGGTATGAAATTCATCGACAGTGCGCATCCACGGCTCCTGCACCTCACAGGATCCAAACCCAGGACCTTTGGTCTTGCACGCGAACACCTATCCCCCCTGGATCACTGAGTCGATATATCTAACGGTGTTAATGTCTAACTTCGATCAATTCACGGTTTTGCACAACCTCATACACTGTCTTCGGTAGTTACTGTCTAATGATAAAATTATTGTTATCGAGAATGGTAGTAGCTTGCGCAAACATCTGTGACATCATTTATTTTAAATGGATATTTATTGCCATGAAATTTGTTACTTTCAATTTAATATCATTCATTATTTCTGGCCACCAAACGCCAAATTCTTATGCAGTCTTGTAAAATGTTTAAAAAATTAGCGCGAATTTATTAGTTAGAAAAAAAATTCGAGATAAATCATTACTGTTGATGACATATTTCTCTCCATCTCTTGGAACATTTTATTATTATTATTGTTGTTGATATACTAGAGATAATCATTGTACGTACACTTTGTACATGAAATATATAAATGACCGAGAAAAAAAATGTATATAAGCATTCATGGATGAAGATAAATGGTGTGGCAAAGTAATGTTTTCTGAATGTTACATGTACATATATTTCGACTATTCACTGGCTATATACTTATGTAGGTAGGTCGATTGGAGAATGATGAGACTAAAAGCAGCTACTCAAGGTCTGAGGGCGAAGTCGTACTTCTGACTGTAGAGGAGTGTGACAACAGTAAGTCGTTTTCCTCGGACAACCAGCATCTGCAGCGATGCTACCTTTTCACAAGGAAGCAAGGGGTTATAAATGGTCGACCCTAAAAATGTCACACCTGCCCTAACTCATGGATTTCCGTCAACGGCCTCAAGCATTTGTCCCTCAGGTTCTGTATTCATGCCGACATGTCTCTAAGACCGACACTAATCTACCTTTCTCTTCAGGTTCTTCAAGAAGCATCCATCCATGGTGTGGGCAGCCGAGAAGTGTTATCCGCCCTCACACACGTAACAGTACGCGAGACCGAACTGGTCACAAACAAATCCTTCCTACACCCCCTAATACCTCTCTTATCTTCACGACTAACTCTTCTCACATTTCTTTATCATCCCGTACCACTCATGCGAACTATGCGAGTTCACGAAACGTTATTCCTGGTCTCCTGAGACCCCGTTCTAGACTACATGTCTGACATTACGTCAAATAAGGCAACAGCATTCATTAGTTAGGACGCTAGAATTTCACTAAATCGATGTATGCTACGTCTCGAAAACGCGCATACAGGATCCTAATAAAGTCATTAATTTGATTTCACCTTGTAAAAATAAAGAAACAGCTTGATTTACTCTTCGTGTATCTGGAAGCCCTGATGCTACTTCCCGCGATCTCGTTGGCATAGGTACAACACTGAGTCGTAGGGCAGATCTAGCTCTCCTAGACTGGATCCCAGTAGATAGTCGCTTGCGCGTTGTCCGAATGAACGGAACAGTAAGGACTCGGATACTCGCCGTTATCTCTTCGTTGTCCCCGCCTCCGCTGCAACTAACTGAAGTTTAGACGATGTGAAAGATGAGTTTTACAGAAAGCTTTCAGACCTCCTGATATAGTAATATTGGCTGGTGATTTTAATGCTCAAGTAGGTAGACTAAGTGAAAATGAAAGACACCTACGTGGATCTTATTGTGTCGCGGCTCAGAGAACAGACAATGGCGACCGTCTGTTGCGAATATGCTCAGATAACCGCCTATTTCTAGCAGACACTAACTTCTGGCATAAGAAAAAACATCTTTTCACATGGTGACCCCAAAAGTCGTCTCAACGTTGGACCCAACTAGATCACCTCGCCATCAGCCACCGATGGAGGTGTTCGATAGAGGAATGTCGCTCGTTCTGGGGCACATGTTTAGATTCAGATCGTGCCCTAGTGCGAGCGCGTATTTGTTTGAGGCTTACAGGGCTTAGGAAGGACACCGCAAAGGAAACCTCTTAGGGTTCTACTTTATGATAATGAGGCTAAGAGGAATAAGTAGAAAGAGAGTTAGGAAACCATGTAAGTGATTCCCATCCGGAGGCAGCTTGGAATGAATACCAATAGAATGTGGAAACAGCAGTGATATCTGCTAGTAAACTAAACCATAAGCCTAGGATGAAGCATCCACCGAACTGATGGATGCTCGAAAACTCATCTCACCTGACTCTGAATATGATGAAGAACGAAGTCAACTTACGCAACGACGGCGAACAGTGGTGGGTGGCGAAAGCGAGAGAGATGGAAAAGTATTCTGTTCACTTGAGCCTAACATGAAAACATTTAATTGATTTCTAATTTGTCACGAATACCTTGTTTCTTTTTTTAAATGGATTTATTCATGATTGTCATTTGTAACAAGAATAATCTTCAACACCTAGTTAATGTAATGTAACGTAATGTTATGTCAATTGTTATCCAACTGTTTGCTTTCACAATAAAAAGGTTTCTGTTTTCAAAAACCAAATATCTTCAGTATGATGTACGCAATCAGATAATACGAAAGCAGCATTCAGTTCCCTGTGACTTACCGATAATTAGAAAGATTTCTACCATCAGATCAATAATTCTGCATCGACCAGAATGAGTTGAATGACTTTCAAATGTTACATTATACGGTACAATAAATGCAATATAAAATGTTAATATCAAAAGTAACCAATCCCAGATAATGTGAAAAAGACCATAGTGTAAAAGAACAAAGCTTGATTTAGTTAATTTTTGTATTTTATATTCTGGTACATTTTTAACGCTGAAATTCTTAATTTGCTGAAAAAAGAAAAAAGGGAGAGAAAAATTATTTTTATTTATATTACTTACTTGATAAACATTAAATGGATACATATTGTCAACTTCAAATGATAATAATAATTCTGAAAATGTTTTAATCGGTAGACAACAGACATATATGTTAAGTTCATGATATTAGAAAAGCTGATGCATGAATCATGTCGATTATGTTGATGATAGTCAATAAGAGTTATGGAGATTAGTGTTCTTACACACATTTGAAATCATCAATCAATCATTGTTAGATGACCACCATTAGAAACATGGAAGCACTGGCAACGACCGTTTCGTCCTGGTGTGGGACTCATCAGTGGCAGTGCACATCCACGACTCCTGCACCTTGCAGGATTCGAACCCGGGACCTTCGACGCGAACGTCTAGCCATTGTACCACTGGGGCCGGCATCCAACGGTGTTAATGTGTAACTCTGATTGATCTAGGGATTTTGCGTGACCTCACCCATTTGTCTTTGGTAGTTACTGTCTACACCCGACAGGGTTGAACTTCACTCGTCACGTCTTCTCACTATAGTCAAATTTAGTGATTTAGATAGAGTAAACTAAAGTTGTAGTGCCTACACATATATTCGGGTTCGCTTACATTTAATTTGGTCAAGCCTTTCGAATAATTTATTTAACAAAGCCATTTGTATATGTACCATTCATTTTTACTATTGTCTGGTTTGTGTGAGCTCACATGACTTGTCTTATTTTGCCTTTCGACCCTGTCAAACATGCGTCGCTTCTATTCATGCGTGCGCATGCCTATCTCGTCTGTCTTATTTTTGTCTGACCATAAATTCCTGGTCATGTTTTATATCTTGGAATTGGCCCACTGGCCTTCTCCACCTTGCTTTAGTCGTTCATTCGCCTATTGACTCGCTTGCTTTCCGGCGCTCGCATGGCGATTTTATCTTTTAGTGCTTGTTCTATTTGTGGTGTATTAAAAATAAACGTATTCAACACTTTGAATTCACCTTCTGATTTATAAACCGTCAGACGCTTGTCAGGAAAAGATTGTCTGGACGAGATAATTACGAAGCTTAAAAACACACAGCAATTGGCCACCACAAACTGATCCAGTATGTAACTCTAGTTTTTTACAAATAACTGAATATACTATGAATTTAATGTTACTTCTAATTTCTCCATATTAATTCTTAAGGGAACATTGTTTATGCGCCGGCGAGTATTGAAAGCCCAACACAGTCTTGTGGATGAAATTATTTCATACATTCGCGTAAGCGGACATAAAAAAAGGGGAGCATAAAAAGCGGCATGAAGCAAAGTGAATACCAAGAAGGCCAACTCAATCGATGAGTCATGACTAAATATTTATAAATCAGACAAAAAATAAGGTAGTGAATGCGATAGACGAAGTAAGCAATGCACATACATACACAAGCGAATACAACCAAGGTTTGTAAACGAATGATTATCGATGGTCAAAAGTCAAACAACAGTGGTACGGATGATTCTTCAAGGTTATAGGATGGATGATACGTAAACAGTATCTGTCTACAACCTTTTATGTTTATCAAGGTCATAACTTCAATAAATAGTAGATTATTACAAAAAGGCTTACTCGATTAAGTTTGGATGAATTATTCTTTTGAAATTTCCGTCCACGAAATCCAAGCCCATGTATTATAGCTAGTGATTTTCGACGTTTATACGAGTACTTTTTCGGATCCAGTTCACAAATTCTTTTCGGATTATTTCCTCCATATAAATAAGATCGATTATCCGAGGATAAACGTTGTGAAATAAATGAAAAACAATTGGCACTTTCATTAGGTTTAGTTTCAAGCAATGTATCATTCGACTGTGTGTTTTGATAAGTTAAATTATTTTTTAAAGCATGCGATAATTCATTTGTACTGGTTAAATTATTCGATTGTGATGAAATTGTTTTATCTCTCTGCAATTGTGCATAGTTTGATTTGTTAGATAGAATTGTTGAATAGGGCAAATACTCGAAACTATGCCAAAAATTAGTTTCTTTGTTTGCCTAAATGACAAAAGAGAATTTGGAAGAAGAAGAAGGTTAAGAAAGCATTATTTGTTCATTAATCTCTTCTTTTTTTAAGTGGATTACGAGCAGTATTGTGGTGCGCGCTACTTATAAGTAGTATATGACCTGAGTGTAAACGTAATGTCTGGCAGCAGAAGATAGGGGAAGATCAAGAAAAGAAGAGTGGGAACACAATGGAATTTGTATGAAACGCATGAATAGTGAAATGTCAGACAATGGATTGATGATGGATTGAAGATTTGCAAATTAACCGTTTACGATATGGTTGGTTTTCCTATTTTACTGAGTAACTCTGTAATTTTCGTTAAATACAATTCGGTTGCTCTCACCTGTGTTCTCCTTCACTACAATATTACTGCATCAATAGATAGATATAGATACTTTCATCCAGACATTCCCTAGTTTAACTAGAAATGTTTATTTTAACAGGTAAGAATTTCATAAGTGCTTACTTTCCATAAAATGTATAATCTCCTTTATAGACTGACTAAGTAGGAGAAAGATTAGGAAAAATGTCATGATTTATAAATATGAATGTCCTTGTTAAAAAGAAAATGTACTTGTCCAAACTGACTGTTTTCCGAATGAGATCCAAAAGAAAGCGAACTTTGAAAATCAATGAGATAATAATCATAAATTAAGGCGGTTATCGATCATGATGTTCAAATGAACAGTTCTTCTTTATTTTTTTTCTCAAAATCACACTTGATTCGATGAAAATTTTGTACGAGGAAAATAGTCATATCTTTGCTCCCTAATCTTCTCCATTGCTGCTAATAATTCTACTATCGCTATCACTGTTGGATTTGAACTGATAGTTACGTCTCTGTGCTGACGTGATATAGCAACCTGAACTGATGTACTTATGTACGAAGTTCTGCGTTGTATCTGTCTGTCTATGAGGAAATAGATGTATTTAGTTATAAAAGACCTTTTACGCAACTATTTATCTAAAACTGATTTAATCTGATCACTGATGTACAGCTTGTCTAATCTTTCTTTTGCATCTAAATTAGTAAAATATTCATCTATTTAATGGCCTACTGACAACTACATACTTTACCAAGTAGTATGAACATTAAAACGTTCCATCAATCATTATCTAATTTACTTGTGGTTTTCTTCAATAAATGCTGTCAGCTATGGGAAAAAGACGTTTAGACAGTAGTATTCAAGTGTTGTTTTATATAAAGTTTAACATTTGGACATCATCATACATTTTGAAAAAAATTGAGTCAACCAAATGACTGGCTTTGATTTTTGATGTAGTAGTAGTAGTGTTGTGCACAAAAACCCAGGTGAGGACATCAACAATATATAAATTTAAGCGAATATTACGGAGTTGTTAAGCATATGTACAAAACCTTCCCGTGAAATCATTATTTGCAAACGAATCCTTATTTGTTTCAGATTTCAGTGTTCTTTCACATTTAGACTGTTCAGACTTCAGTTCACTTTACGTTCGTTACCTACAAATCGCCTTCTGTTCTCATTTTTTCCTTCTCGATCTTTTGCTGTCAGACGTTTGATTTCCATTTGATATCATATACTACTTATGTGAACATAAGTAGCGTATACCACAGTAGTAGTAGGCTGTATTGCAATCGATCATACCATGCTAATTTCACAGTGAATCAATATGTCTGCTTGATTATCTAGTTTTATGATGAAAGCAGTTACTCTGATCAACTAGCGAGATATTTTTATTCTTTGTTCTCATTCAAATGAACAATTGCTGACAGTGTTATGTAGGTTTCAGTTGTCCGCGTTTATTTACAACGTCCTATTACTAAATCTTTAAAACATTAAATCACTGGTGCAAACAAAGATTTATTCGTTACAAGATAGAATGACAACACTAATCAAAAGTATAGTTAGTTACAGATTGATTTTACAGCCTGTGATATAGATATTCTAAAACTAAATACAAATCATAAAGAATCTAAAATGTATCTGCTTTTTTATCCCGTTATATATCAGTCAGCTGATTAACCATTGACAACCTGATGATACTTAACACTTGTAAGGAAAATTCTTTTTTACTTGAAAACTGTGTCCTCATTTACTTTTTTCTACTCGGAAAGTGTACGTCATAACTACAGTCTCAATATATGGTTTGCTGAATTGAAAGTAATAACATTATAAAGTAAGCACTAGTTAAAAATATATTGGAGATTTCAAATGTGCAAAAACACTAATCTCCATTACTCTAATTCAAAATATCGTAAAATGTGCTCACTAGTGACAACTAGTTTCGTGAAGAAATTCTCGGAGTTCTAGTGAGAAGACGTGACCGATGGAGTTCAACCCTATCGGGTGTAGGCAGTAACTACTACCAAAGACAAATGGGTGAGGTCGCGCGAAATCCGTAGATCAATCAGAGTTACATATTAACACTGTCGGATGCCATCGTCAGTGGTCCATAGGCTAGGCGTTCACGCACAAGTTCGCGCCGAAGGTCCTGGGTTTGAATACTTCGAGGTGCAGGAGTCGTGGATGTGCAGTGACACTGATATTTCCCACACCAGGACGAAACGGTCGTTATCAGTGCTTCCATGTTTCTAATGGTGGCCATCTAACAATGACTGATTGATTTCAAATGTGTTTAGCAACACTAATCTTCATAACTCTAATTGAAAATATGTTGGAACTGGAATAAATTAAGCTTAGTATAACAGTACTAAGTTAGAAGCATCTTATATAAATAAATATACACATATATATTTTCTTAATACTGTAACCTATAAGTGGTGTAGATTATTGTTCCTATAAATTCATTTTTCCACAATATATATATCCATATATATCTATACATAAACTTACAAATATAACAGGTTCATTAGTGAATATCAAAGCATCAATATTTTGTTTATCTACGTATAAGCATATGTTTTTTTTTTCAAAAATCAAATCAACAGAACATCAGCTAACCAAAAAATATCTTAGTAAAAGTCAAAATTCAGAAGATGAGAGACATAAAATTTTCTGACTATTCTGATCAAAATGAAATGAATACAGTCGATCTAATCGAATCGAATCTAATCGAATCTAATCATGTCATTTCATTACTACTACTACTACTACTACTACTACTACTACTACTACTACTACTACTACTACTACTACTACTACTACTACTACTACTACTACTACTACTACTACTACTACTACTACTACTACTACTACTACTACTACTACTACTACTACTACTACTACTACTACTACTACTACTACTACTACTACTACTACTACTACTACTACTACTACTACTACTACTACTACTACTACTACTACTACTACTACTACTACTACTACTACTACTACTACTACTACTACTACTACTACTACTACTACTACTACTACTACTACTACTACTACTACTACTACTACTACTACTACTACTACTACTACTACTACTACTACTACTACTACTACTACTACTACTACTACTACTACTACTACTACTACTACTACTACTACTACTACTACTACTACTACTACTACTACTACTACTACTACTACTACTACTACTACTACTACTACTACTACTACTACTACTACTACTACTACTACTACTACTACTACTACTACTACTACTACTACTACTACTACTACTACTACTACTACTACTACTACTACTACTACTACTACTACTACTACTACTACTACTACTACTACTACTACTACTCTTTACTTATTTACTCAATCTACACACAATGACAAATGCAGAGTTATATACACTACACACATTCGATTATATTGTTATGACGAAAATTGATGTACTTTTTTGTTTGTTTTTTCTCTGGAAATTCGACAATCTAATTTACTTAATTAAATATGATTTAATTAAATTTATAGATTGAAGTGATAAAAAAAATTATTAATTTGTGTGTGTGTGTGTGTGTGACACAAGATCATCATCTCCACTGTCTAGACAATTGATTATATTAGAAAAACAATGATATATTAAAAATCAGCTAATTCACTGTCAAACAATTATTTAGATTGAAATAAGTCATGATAACTTAGAGAGAAGAGAAGTAATCATGAAATGATGTGTAGAAGAGTTTTCATGCGCTTTATGAATAACAATTGTATGTAGAACTAGATGAACAACTACGGGATAGAGTTATTTTATGCTACTGGTTTTTTTAAAACTTCACCTGTTTTTTCATCACACACAGAATAAATGTACAAAATGTGTGTGTATATTTTTCGGTTATTGCCAATGTATAACACTGTATGCGTTGCATTTTAGAAATGTGTGTGTGTTCAGCTGGTTTCATTGTCTTTTCTCTAATGATAGATAGTATCTTGGGGCAGAGTTTTGTAGGTTTGCGATTTTACACATTTGAAATCATCAATCAATCACTGTTAAACCTGGAAGCAATAACTACCAAAGACAAATGGGTGAGGTCGCACAAAATCCCTAGATCAATCAGAGTTAGACATTAACACCGTTAGATACCGGCTCAATGGTCCAACGGTAAGGTGTTCGAGCACAATATCGAAGGTCCCGGGTTCGAACCATGCGAGGTGCAGGAGTCGTGGATGCGCACTACCAATGATGAGTCCCATACCAGGACGAAACGGCCGTGTTTCAGTGCTTCCAGGTTTCTAATGGTGGTCATCTAACAATGATTGATTGATGATTTCAAATAGATAGTAGCAATAATTCATGAAATAAACTTTCGCCTGCCTAGAACTACATAAAATAATAAAGATACATTTTGCGGAAATGTTGTTTGTTGTATGACAAATTTTCAATGTAAGAAATAGTAATTATGCTTGTCTATGTGATATATACTACCTATTCTTTAGATTGGAGTGGAATCTTGATGATAGTAGAATATTTCAAAGTGTCATATTCACATTTTAAGTGAATTTTGACGATTGTCGCAAGTTTTATTATGCCGTATATATTCTCAATCTTGTCATCAATCGACTGCTTCTAAATAGTGTTATTTTATCCTATGATAAAACTTCATCGACAAAGTAATAGTGAAAAATAGTTAGTTAATGTCTTTTCTACACTGAAAAATGATTCCCCAGTACATACATTAAGATTGTGCATATCAGAGTATCGTTTAATGTGTGTGGGATCAAACATCAAAATCATTTTTTTAGGACTTATGATCTCTCGAAATTTATCAGAGCTAATTTGCCTATATATACACACATATATTATTCAATGATCCGTAAGTTACATTTATTCCAGAAGAAAAATTGTACGAGTTAGTTTCTTATTTTTATTTAACTTCAATAGGTAATTTGAATTTTGTTGAAGACTGTTAATGAAAATCGGTTGAATTTGTTTGATATTTTCATCGTAGTACTCAAAATGTAGCATGAATGTAAACGGTATCTATTTAAGGTGATCATTGTGTGCTACTTTTTAAAGTTTCCAATTTGACATTCAATGAATGTCTGTCTCCTCGTCGAAAAATCTATACTTAATTAGGATGATTAAGATCATGAAGTTAGTATTTCGAAATATATATTAGAGTGATGATGGTGAGTATCAATTCTCCTGACTACCACCAACTTGATTGTGAGATCGTTTTCTGTCGATGAGCTGACTGTCAGTCAATTTAGAATTTCTTTTTAAAGGATTTTATAACACAAAGCTATCCCCAAAGCTATAATAATTCATGATTAAATAAAATTTGAACATTGTTTAAAATTTATTCACATTGATCACTGTTAGACCGTTTATTAGCAAAAGAACTGCATATTATATTGTTCACAGGTCAACACAGTAGTATGCGACCATAATGCAATGTCAAAATTCAATTCGTTTTCAAACATTTGAAAATGATCATATTCTAATGCATTAAGAAATTCTTTCATATTATCAAACTTTGTAAAGTGTTCATAAAATATTACTGTGGTTCGTGCTACTTATAAGTAGTATATGACGCGAGTAAAAACGTAATGTCTGGCAGCAGAAGATAGGGGAAGATCAAGAAAGGAAGAGTTGGAACACAATGGAATTTGTATGAAACGCATGAACAGTGAAATGTCAGACAATGGATTGATGTTTGCAACAGGAACCACAGTCCAGTTCGATATGATGGATTGATATTTTGCAAATTAACGATTAACGATTTACGATATGGTTTTCCGATTTTACTGAGTAACTCTGTAATTTTCGTTAAATACCATTCGGTTGCCCTCACCTGTGTTCTCCTTCACTACAATATAATTAGATCATAAAGACTGTTATATAGTCATTACTAGGCTTGACAGTAAACTACTTCATTATGATACACTCAATGCAAAACC